CGCGGTCCCTGATGCTTTGCTAAGCTTGTTCTAAGTAGGTGCTTTAGACCACTGAGCCATCTCTCCAGCCCCTCAAGATATTTTTAATAGTTTTAAATTCTATTAACAGCGCAGACTTCAGACAAATGTGTTTTCTTATAACTTCAGTGTATCACATCCCAAATTTTTAGTGCAAGTTTTGTATCTCAGGGTTGAACCTGCAGTTATTTACCATTACTATTAAACTAATTGCAATGAAAGAAGTTTTTGATGTTTTTCTTCTCTAGTTGTATCTAGGCTTTTATTTAGTAGCTATCATTGACAATATATTTTATTTCATATGTGAAAATAGTTTTGATACAAGATTACCTAGATTACATTGATTTCAGCCATGCATCATTTCAGGCTTTATAACCCACTAGTATAATTCCTGAGGTTATTACCCTTCTTTAAGAAATTAGAAAATTGGGCTGAGAAGTCCTAGGAAATGAAAATAGTTTGAGACAGTCTAAAAAAACAGTGTGTATTCTATCACAGTCACAAAGCTTTAGTGAGTATAGTATAGAAAGGAAAATAAGGACAGTTGAAATAAGGCATTTTTCTTGCTTCATTTACTTATTTACTGCTTCTTTTGCTTTTTACATTTAAGAGGATTAGATTGTTCATTTCATAATCCTACAATTTTTTTGACCTCTAAATTCCAGCCATATTCAGTACCATGCAGCCTGCTGGTACCATGATAAGGGAAGTCTACATCAGTACATAAAAATAAGCGAACTCTGATTGTAGCAAAGCTATCCAAAGGAGCCAGGCAGACCTAGCTTGTCTATATACAGCTTTCTGCAGTTGCGTCATCAATTGGTAGGTGCTGTGGTTGTGTTGGTCTGTCCCTTTAGAACATGTTATACAGCTGGGTAAAGCAGGTCTTGCAGGGATCGTGGGTAGAGGGAGGGACTGAAGATTATTCTGGGAAGGGGGAACAAGGCAGATAGGAGTCAGGGAAGCATGTATGGAGACCTAGGAAATCAAGATTGGCTAGGATAGTTTTCACCATGAGACTCAGAGGAGTGAGGGTGAGTGAGGTCATGAAAAACTGCAAGTTAAGGAGCTTGAATGTACGTCTTCAGTGGCAAACCCTTCACACTTCGGGTGTGCCTGCCCATGCACACAGGAATAATAAAAATCATTGTTCTAGGAAATTAATTTGTTGATTAGTAGATTGAGGTCACTGTTTCCTTTATGCTTTTGGTAGGAAAGTTGAGTAGCATAAGCGTAATCATTAATTTACATAAAATTTGACTATCAGTTTTCCATGAAGGTCCAGAAGCTGGGCTGGGGAGATAGCAGTATAAGCGCCTGCCTGGCAAGTGCAAGGTCCTGAGTTTTGATTCCCAGTACCACACACACACACACACACACACACACACACACACACCAAAAAAGAAGGTCCAGAAGCTGAATGGTTATACCCTAGCAGAATCTAGTATTTAGTAAACTAAAGCTTAAATGTAAAGCTACCAACAAAAAATAACAGGTTATAACATAATTTTATGTAAAGCCTTATTAATAGAAAATTCTCTTGGCCAGTGCAAGGTCCCAAGTTCAATCCCCAGTACTAAAAATAAATAAATAAACAACTAAACAAAAAAACTTTACAACATATATTTGGAAAGTGATGAAAACATGACCAGAAATTGCTGTCACCTTGGTATGATATTGGAAAATTTATTTTAAGTACTTGAAAGGCTTATTTTGGTTTCCATGCTGAATTCAATTACTAGTGGATACAGATTTCAAAGAATATAAACATTACAGTGTTCCTTTGGAATTCCTATGGAGCAACTCCTAAAAAATGTCTGTTGTAGATAGAATCTTTAATCTGTCAGAATATATAAAATCACCACAGATTATTTAAAAATGCAGTTCATGTTTTAAATAGGATTGCTCATTTTATATCTTGTATATGTGTGTTTCTACCCACTTTTTAAGATTAAAGATGTTCAGTTTTTACTTTTAGAGAAACACATTTAAATATTTTACCCCACAGGCAGTTTTTCAAGCTTTCAGAAGGTGCTGAGGCCTATTTTAAAGAAAATATTATAACAGCACTAGAAATGATGCACTGTTGAGAAGGTGTGATCTGCTAATGGAAGAGCATTATGTCAGCATTCGGAAAGTTTTGGATTTTAGAGCATTTTGGATTGTAGACTTTGCAATTAAATATGCCAGATGGGTAAGATCTGTGCAGCTATTCCATAGTCCTCCAAAAAACTGAAATGTACAACACCTTTGCTCCCAGGCACTACCATAAGGGGATATTCACCCTGTATCTAATTTGGAATAGGTCAAGTCTAAGTTAATAAGAGATGAAGTTCTAAATTATTTTTGTCTGGTTTTATTTTTGAAGTAATTCAACATTGAAAATTTACTGTAATAGATGCTGTTGAGTGGAGATTAATAGGATCACAAATGATCTCCATGATGTTTCCTGTTTCCTGTTTTTTTCTTTTTTTTTTTTTTTTTTTGCTCCGAATGCCTTCAGGTTAGGTTTGGCTGGCTTGAGTTGTGGGGATCGAACCACAGCAACCTGAGCCTGACTGCTTTGTTGAAGCAGCCACTTAAAGAACTGAGCTAAGGGGCAGGCCCCCTGTTTCTAAAATTTTTAAAATATTAAAAATGCTAGTTGTGAAAACCTTGATTTCTGAAGCTATTCCTATTACAGTTACTGATTCTTGACTTAGCTTAGTGCATCTTAATGACTGAGGTTTTAATTAACCTTTGATAAGTTTATTGTACGTGGGCTTAGAGTAGTTTGAAAAGACATCATGATGTGTTCAAGTTCTGCACAGCTTTAAGTGCCAGTAAAAGGTGGGTTATGGTGCTGACTGATATATTACGAGGGAAGCAAGCTTAACAGTAATTACATTAAACTTCATTATGGATAACTTTGAGCATGAGTGAAAGACTGAAGAATGTAGTAAATTTACATGAATCTGGTATCTATTTTTATACTTAACTGATGGTAAATTATCTTTAATTCATAACTGCATCAATTTACTACTTTTATTTTAAGTAAATGCTGGTAATTCTACCATTTTGTAAGTAGATCAGTATGTCAAAGGATAAAAACTTTGGTTCTAACGTAAGTACAAAATCATTGTCATACCTAAATGAAAATTAATTTTTAATACCATCAAATTTTTGTCCAATTGTCCAGTTTTTTTATGGATATTACAGGGTTTCCCAGATGAATTCATTTGAATCATAGCTCACATAATGTGAATGATGTTTGAGTATTTTTGACTCTTCAGATGTCTTCATGTTTATTTTTTCTCTTTTAGTTATTGAAGATGCAAAGTAGAGGTTTTTTTTTCTTTTGGCAGTTTACAACATGGGTTGTGCTGTTTATATCAGCATATAGTCAGACATGGAGGTGCTCAATTAATTACTTGAAATAACTTCTGTTGGTTTTAGAAAACTGTTCAGTTTCTATTCAAATATAGCTTTGATTCTGTTAGCCTTTATAGTCTAGCTACATTTGTTAGAACTTTTTTCTGAATTCCTGTCTATTACATGCTTTCTCATTTTTCCTACACTCCTGTCTGCATTCTAGTAATTTACTTCTGACCTACATTATAGCTTACCAAGTTTTCTAATTGTCTAATTTTGTCTAGTTGTACCTAATTTTTAAAATCTATTTATTGATTTCTCAATTGGAATAGTTTTTATTTGCAGTTCTAAAATTTCCATTTGGCCGGGGAAATGGCTCAGAATAAGTATGTGCTTGCTGGCAAGCGCAAGGGCCTGAGTTCAATCCCCGGTTCTGAAAAAAAAAAAAAAAAAAAAAAAAAATTCCATCTGGTGATTTTAGATTTTTTTTTTCTCAGTTTTCTGTCAAAATCCTCAGGGTTTTTTTAATTTCCTTTTATTATACATAGTTAATTGAAAACCTATGCTTATAGCTAAATCATCTAGTTTGCCTCTGCATCTGTTTATGTTTTTATCATACTTACTGTCCCCAGTATACCTGCTGGTGGGATTGGTGGTTATTGTGTGTTTTGACTTTGTAAAAGATAGGAATTATGGACCAGGAAAATGACTCATTGGCATAAGCACCTGCCTGGCAAGCTCAAGGTCCTGACTTTGATCCCTGGTACCACATAAAAAAAACAAAAAAGGAATTACTTCAAGTGAGGTTATTGGTGTTATTTTTATTCAAAAATAGTTTGTGTCACTTTATTTCAGGAAGGGCTAGAGATTCTGAATTTGAATTCAATTCAAGATTGTAGTCAATCTTTACTCCCTCAGTGTAGCAATATAGTGGTGAAGGTCTCCAGCCAAAAGCACCTTCTTGGTAGACTGAGCTTATGTATGTCTGAGATCCTTGGAATTCCTTTGAAACCTCTGCTCAGCTCTGAACTACCCTGTCAGCAGGGTTCCTGGGGGTAATACCATTCCCAAATTCTGGGCTCACCTATGCAGTATTTGTGTCTATATAGTCCTGTAATTTTTTCACTGCTTCCTTAAGCATTCTAATGTTTTCGTAAGGCTGATTTTCTTTTACCCAATGTTTTTAGTGGCTTCAGTGAAAATTACTGTATGTTACCTGGTCTGCTATTACTAAAAACTTTGCATTTAAAAAAAAATTATTTTGTAAATTTTTTTAAAGAGAATACAAAATGGTTTAAAAAAAAAGATACAGGATTTCACTAAACAAAACAATAGGAATAGGAATACAACACTTTATTATATGTTATCTTCAAATTAGTTGCTTAGATTACCAGATATAAACAGGCAAAATTGGTTTTAGAAGAAATTAAAAAGGAGAAGAAAAAAATAAATACTAACTGCTCCTTTTAATAGGCCAGCAGAAATCAGCAGTACAGTTACAAGCTATTCCTGGACATATACATACATAAATATATCTTTTTCCTTTATTCCTATTTTGCTTTTTTTCCTCTCCTTTTCCTCATCACAGTGTACTTCCCTTTGAACAGATTCTTTCCCTTTCAAAAGATGTACCTTTCAGATTTTATTTCTTCAAGTTCATACATTTTCAATACAGTATGATGCTTGTTGAATTTGTGGGTCTGACTTATTTCACTGACCAGTATGGTCTCTAGTTGTATCCATTTACCTGTAAAAGCTTTGAGTTTATCTTTCTTTATAGCTGAGTAATACTTCATTGTGTAAAAATACAATGTGTTTTTAACCATTCCTCAGTTGATGAGCACTTGGTTTGTTTCCACATTTTAGCTACGACAAATTGCACTGCTATAAACATGGGTGCACATAAATCACTGTGGTATGCTGTTTTCAGTTCATTCAGGAAAATATCAAGGAGAAAAATAGCTAGGTTGACTGAGACTTCTAATCCTAGCATTTTGAGGAATGCTCACACTGATTTCCATAGTGGTTATACCAGTCTACACTCCCACCAACAGTGGAGAAGGGTTCATTTTACTCCACAACCTCTCTAGCATTTATTATTGTTTGACATCTTGATAATAGCTAAACTTTCTATGATGAGATGGAATCTCAGTGTTTTAATTTGCATCCCTTGGATAACCAATGATGTTGAACATTTTTCATATATTTGCCATTTGTATTTATTTGTGAAGTGTGTATTCATCAGACATGCCAATTTTTGGATTGGGCCTTTGAATTTGGGGGACCTGATTTTTCTTCTTTATATGATCTAGATAGAAGTACTATGTCTGAGGGACAGTCAGCTATAATTTTTTTCCAGTTGGTGGGTTTTCTTTTTACTCTTGGTAATTTCTTTTGATATGTGAAGCTTTTCTACATAAGATCCCAGTTGTTCATTCTTTGAAGTATTTCCTGTGTAATTTGGTTTCTGTCCCTAAACTCTACCTACCCCTATGTCTTTAAGATTTCTACCTAGTTTCTTCCCAGAAGATTTAATGTTTCAGTTTTAATACTTAAATGTTTGATGATTTTGACTGTAGTTCTGTGCATAGTAATATTGGTCTAATCTTAGCCTTTAGCATGTGGAAAAAGTTTTTCCAGCACCATTTATTAAAGAGGCTATTTTTCTTCCAGTGAACATGTTTGTGTTCTTTGTTGAAGATAAAGTGGGTGAGTGTGTTTGTAGTTGTGTCTGCATCTTCTAATCTGTTCTATTGATGCTCATGTCTTTTATTTATTTATTTATTTTGCCAGTAGCATGCTGATTGGATCATAGTAGCTTTGTAGTATAATTTCAGATCGGGGATTGTGATGCCTCTTGCCCTTCTTTTGCTGCCCAGGATTGCTTTTGATATTTCTAGGTCTTCTAATTTCAGATGATTTTAGGAATGTTTTCTCTAGCTCTGTGAGGTATACTAATGATATTTTAATTGGGATTATGTTGAATCTATGTAACAGTTTTGAGAGTATGGCCATTTTCACAACGTTGCTTCCTATCCAGGAACAAGGAATATATTTCCATTTTCCTTTCTTTCTTTCTTTCTTTCTTTCTTTCTTTTTTTTTTTTTCTTTTTTTATGTATTTAGGACAAGGTCTACAGGGTCTCTCTACGAAGATCAGACTCATAGTGATTCTCCTGTTTTCAGCTTCCCAAGCGCTGGGATTACACATGTGTGGTGCCACGCCCAGTCTCAATCGCCATCTGAGTGCACCCCACAGGTGGGGCTGGCACGGCGTGCTGGGGATTGAACCCCAGCTGCTGTGCTCTGCTTAAGCAGGTGCTTTAGTCCACTGAATTATCATGCTGGCCCTTGTATTTCCATTTTCTATAATCCTCTTTAGTCTCTTTGTTTCAGAATACTATAATTTTCACTGTATATTTTTTTTTCATCCTTTATGAGGTTCATGCCTGAGTATTTCTTTTTTTATGTTATTGTAAAAGGCATGGTTTTCCTAATTTTTCCCTTAATGTGTTCATTATATATAGAAATGCTATTTATTTTTGAATGTTGACTTTGAATACTGTTATGCTACTAAATCTACAAGTCTTGGAGCTTTTGGGATCTTCTATATAGAGTATCATGACACTGAAGAGTTCGAGAAGAGTTGGTATTAAGTCTCTAAATTTCTTAGAGAATTCAGGTGTGAATCCATCAGGACCTGGGCTTTTCTTTGTTGGGGGGTATTTGATTACATTTTCAATTTTAATGACATACTGGTTTATTCAAAATTTTTATATCTTGTTGATTCAGCTTTCATAGCTCATATTTATCTAGGAATCTGTCCATTTCTTCTGTATTTTCCATCTTGTGAGAGTAAAGATTTTAGAAGTAGGTATCGATGGTCTTCTGAATTTCTATAGGGTCCGTAGTGATTTCACACTTTTCATTTCTCATTGCTTGGATTTGAACTTTTTCTTTCTGTTTTTGATAAGGTTGCCAAGGGGTTTATCAATTTTATTTATTCTTTCAGAGAACCAACTCTTTGATTCATTAATTCTCTGTATTGTTTTCTTTGTCTCCATTGCATTTATTTCTGCTCTGATCTTTATAATTTCCTGCCTTCTTTGAGCTTTGGGCTTGACCTGTTCTTCTTTTTCTAGGAACTTGAGGTGCAGCATAAGATTGTTTACGTTGGGCTCCTTCTATTTCTCTGATGTGCAAATTTACTGCTACAAATTTCCCTCTTAAACCAGCTTTTTTTGCATCCCATAGATTCCAGTAAGCTGTATGTGCATTTTTGTTTGATTGTAAATATTGTTTAATTCTTCGTTAATTTCATCTGTGACCCATTGATTGTTCAGGAGGGTATTATTTAGTTCCCTCATGTTTATGCAGTTTTTGCTCTTTTTTTGTCAAAACAATTTCCAGTTTCATTGTACTATGGTCATAATATGCATGGGATAATTTCAATTCCTTTGCATTTACTTAAATATGATCTGTGTGCTAGAATATGCTCTATTTTGGAGAATGTCCCATGTGCAGCTGAAGAAAATGTACATTCTGATGTTGCTGGGTAGAATACTCTGTAAAAGTCTACTAAGTCCGTATCTTCACAAGTTGGTTTAGTTATTTCTTTGCTGATTTTTTTGCATAGTTGACCTATCACTTTGTGTCAAGGGGTGTTGAAAGTGCTCCATTACAATAGTGTTATTGCTTATTTAATTTTTCCTGTCTGTTAAAATTTATCTTATGAGTTGGGTGTTCCTACATTGGGTGCATATATATTTATGATTTTTATTTCTTCCTCTTGCAGTTTTCCCCTAACAAGTAATATAGTAACCTTCTTTATCTCTTTTAATCACTCTTGGTTTGAAGTTCACATTGACAGCAACCAGAATAGCTACTCCTGCTTTTTTCTGGGCTACTGTCTCATGGAATGTTGTTTTCCATACTTTGACTTTTGGTCTATAGTTTCTTTTCGAATTAAATG